AGTCTGGAAAACTAATGAAGAAAATCAACTGCAAGTCAATTTGGATTCAGGTCAGCGTCCAAAACCGAGTGGAATGGCATATGTTTTGAAAGTTTCTGTTGATTTTCACTTTTTGGTGAAAATCACAGTAATTTTTCAACCTGAAAATTCGAAAAAAACAAAAGTGGTCGGATAGGATAAAAAGGTATATTATTCGACTCGGTTTCGGATGCAGACTCCGAATATGATACTTTTATTGCATACAAGTTGAGTTCTGGTGCAGAAAATTGAGAATTACTGACACAGTTTCGATCTTTTTGCTCCTGGTTTAGAAAAAGTGAAATTTCTCAACACTATAGGAAATCAGAAAAATTTAGTAAATAGTGTCGTCTGAGAAAGGACGAATTCTGTTATCAAATAATATCAGACTTGATCATCGGCTTATTGTAATCTCCCCACTGGCATATCGTTTTTTTCTTTCGCCTACAACGATGAAACTCATTCAAACATGCCTGGCTTTGAGGGGATTGAAATTTTCAATACTACAATATGTCATGAATAAACCTCTATAAAATTTTCCTGGCGCTTCTATAATGGTAAATGGAAAGATTAATTGTATGAGTTCAACAATCATTAATTTAAAACTTTTATCTAAAACAGGAGGTTTCGATTACAACTGTAATCATCGTCAGCTACATTTAGACGAAAAATACTCACAGCATATATATATGTTCATTTTACTATTCTTTTCTGTTCTCTTCTCTTCTGTGAATGTAGTACATATTTCTAAGAATATTCTTTTTCATTCTCTTAGAGAAAGTAGTGAAAAATTCTACGAAATATGCACACTATAAACCATTCTACTATAGCAGATATAGTCTGAATAGCCAAAGTTTGTTCAGCTAATTTGGCTAATGCTGGACCTGTTTTAGCGATGTGTTTAATGATTATGTATGCGCAAAATAAAAACAAATTAAATTTAAGTTAACATAACTGACCAATTCTTTGGCGTGGCTTCTATTTTAAATCTTTTCTGACCTAATCCTGACTTGTTTAATACCGAAAAAACGTTTTACTGACTCAAAGCCGACATGATTCGGACCCGTTTCGGTTTCTGTGGGTCAGACACCAGAGACATAGAAACTTTCTTTGCGCACGACTTTTTAAAAAAAATAACTTTACACACATAAATAACCACAAATATCGCGAAAAAATTACAGCACTTGTATAACGAGAAAAATAATAATCTCTATTTTCATCTGAGTCTAACATAGCAATGGGCTCTTCTGGAAAAGAAGAGAGCGAAAAAAAGAGAAGGGAGAAGAGGTTTGTTTTTTGTCGAAAAAAGAGGAAAATTATTTATCAATTTTCTGGGAAAACCATAAATATCACAACGAAAATGTGGCAGAAACATGGAAGGAAAGGGAAGTAATTAGCGATGTTCAGGCTGATAGAGGCAAATTTTGTCAGATTTATGAAAATATCTAAAAAACAACCCCCCTTTCTCGAAAATATACTAGATTGCCCCAGAAAGAGAAAGATGGATCATAAAATGCTAAGACGTTACGAATATTGCTGTTTACAGGAACTAATCTCACAAGATCCATTAACCATGGCCGTTTTTTCAAAAATAAAGCATGAGCTTGGCAATATTGGCGTCGGACTCAGAACACGGCACCTCTTGTTGCTTCTCGTGTTGTATGGAAAGTGTTTAACAAGAAGCTAATACCAACCATATATCTCTATGGTTTATTTCACACTTCTAGGACAAAAAAGAAACAAAAAAAGAAAGTTGTTCCATTTGTATTAAAAATCTAATGTGAAGCCTTCTAAGTTGATCGATCACCCATATAGAAATAGCAGAACACAAGAAGTAGACTAATCATATCACATATAAATACAAACCGGTCGTGTTGACTGAATATAGCCAATCACATTCCGCTAATAGCGAGAAAACTCGTTGCGCATCTAGTACCTTCTTTTGCGACCTGATCATATGTAGACTTCAAAGCAACTAATTGCTGCAAGTGGACAACCATTGGTGCTATACCTTCATCTAACATCATTTTCAGTACGACAATACAATCAACTACTACGACAGCGCCGGCAATTTGAGTTTTTGGGGCCATACGAGATGTTACTGATGCATCAAGATCCCACTTTAACATGATACCAAAAGATGGATTTATAACTGCCCAATGTGCATCGTCACTTGATGTCATTAAAGCAAGTATTGCATGAACAGATGTTGCTTGAGCTACGACATAGAATACGCCAGTCATTCTACGATCTTCATGAGCTCTTGTGATTTTGTCTGAATGGCTGCTTATCATGATCATCCAACAAGTGGACATTTTGGCATAAGAAGGACGTCGCATAAATTAAAAGATCGATATGTCTGGCCCAATATGATGTCAACAATCGAAAATTATATTAAGTCATGTGAAAAATGTGCCAAATTTAACATCCGAAGAACCAAAGCACCAAGTAAATTACACCCTATCACACCACCCGAGGGTATATTCGAAACAATTGGAATGGATTTTGAGGGTCCAACACCTTATCCATCAGCTGAAGGAAACAGGTATGTGTTGGTAGTAACGGATTATTTATCAAAAGATGTCATAGCCAAAGCCATGCCAAACAACAGCATAATTCATCGTCGAAGATGTTATATTGAAATATGGTGTACCCAGAAAATTAATTACAGATCAAGGATCACACTTTAAGAACGAATTGATTGGCAGCATTACTCGGCTTTGTGGACGCAAACACGTCTTTGCAACAACATACCATCCCCAAACAAACGGACAGGTTGAACGTTTCAATGCAACCTTTTATCCATAATTGGCAAATTACATGATGAAAATGTTAATGATTGGGATGCATACTTAACCGCATGTGTATTTGCCTACAACACTGGAGTTCATGCGACAACTGGGTACTCACCATTTTAACTGGCGTTTGCCCGCCAACCCATTTTACCCTTTGATGCACCAAAAGCAGTAATCATATTAACAAAGCCAAATGATTATTGGACACAAATCAATAAGTTAATGAATGGCTACAAAAAGAGTGTAAAGTACAACATCAATTACCAGCAACAGTTGGCGAAACGCCGTTATGACAAGGGACGTGCCGATCCAATTTATCATCCAGGTGATTTAGTATTTATCAAACACCATGGTAAACGTCCAAAATTCGGTGAATTATATTCTGAACCATACAAAGTGATACAACAACATCCACTCGCATATTTAGTGGAAGATGAAGAATCATCAATTCAAGAACAGGTTCATGTCAGCAGAATACAGCCTGTTTATCAACGAATGATCTAAATTTATGTTATCAATATTACATTTGATGGTGTTATATGGTACTGGTACTAGGTAATTCGAAGGCTATAGTGATTATTATGACATAAAATTATGTAGTTTATGTGATTAGCACGATATCGGGAGAGAGTTCATTAGCCTCACTGATTGATAGGGCTCGTTACATACTATTCAAATATCATTTACGTCATCATAATAATGGAAATGGTTATAATACCACCCACTGTGTTCACTTATAATGATAATGAGGATTAATTTAGCTAGGCTCAAATGTTTTACATAGATACATTATCATTCTATTTTATGGTGGGTCGACACATCGTAATTTGTTAATGGTAATATTCAAATACTTCCATGATGAAATTCTTGGATGTGATAGTGATCGGCACAATACCTGATCTTCCAACGACCCATCATCGAATCAAACAACAGCAACATAAGCGGGTATTTTACAAACTAACAACAACTCTTCGTAACGTCAAGCTCTTTTATTTTTTTTTATTGTGATGTTGCGGTGATTTTTATGAACGGGACGTTCATCTTCTCGGTGGGGGAAGGTGTTAGGAAGTGAATACGTTCATTTTCTAAGTTAAAGATCATTCTGTTTTAACTGTCTCATTATGTATTTTGTTTATCTCTTTTCGTTCCCTTTTTATGTGTCATCATACATATGATCTCTTTCTCTTTGTCCATTTCATCATACATATGTTCTCTTTCTTTTTTGTCTATTTCGTCACATATATGATCTCGTTCGGTTTTTGCGATATCATATGGTAGTTATCTATTGCATCAGACCAATAGTCTTGTACGCTCTTCTAGGTACTATTTCATCATTCATAGGATTTTAATCTCTTTTCATTACGTCATAGGTTTCTAGATAATCCTAGCTTGGTGTGATTTAGAGTTGCATCATTTTGTTAATTTTAAATGTCTGATTTTTTGCTATAACTAACGATGTATTTTAGTAGGTTCGATATGTTTTTGTTGAATACAAATAAAGTTTTATTTGCTCCATCAACTTAGACTTTTGAATCGGTGAAAGGGATTTTCACTTGGTGACAGCGCACGACCTAATACGACTTCGCATCAACTATCATCTAATAGTCCGGATGAAGGACATAGGCAAGCTCCGATTGCAACGCTTAAGCATGAATTCTCAATGTCAAAATTAGAACTTGGCGTCTCGAAACGCGTGTGGTCGAATTCAACCATTGCATGCACAACTGTCGTCGCCTTCAGAATGCATCATTGGTCATCTTCTACATTAAAATGATAAACTAATCAAACAACACAATGAGGTATTGAGTTTGCTGAAACGTATACTCAGTTCGCGGTGTTTGCAGCCATATTCGAATCGCAATTCTTCACAATTGTTGCTAACTGTTTCTTCTCAACCACTATTGACTGCACCAATAGTGCTTATTCCGTAAAATTCGTACACATCTGTTTCTGCCAGTTCTGTCGAAGGTTATATCACAAGACCAACGTCAGTTCGTCACCCATGACAAAAACTTTATAAGAAAGAATAGTCAAGAACGCGTTCTCGATAAAAAGGAACCCGTTTTATCGACTAAGACGCGCCCAAACATGCAGAACACATTCGAACGCATTCCTCGTGAAAACGAAGTTATTCCGTCTCAAGACAAACGTGCACTGAATGCGTTCCTAATCGATAAGACCTCGTTCTTGCGAAACGCGTTCAATAGCGATCGCGTTCTATGACTGTGCAAACGCGTTTGAACAGTTCAAAAAGGACGCGCTCTTGCGTTTAGTAAGAACGTATTCCTGATTTAGAAGAGGCCATTCTTCAGGAGCGCATTCGATAAGAACGCCTTGTTAATGAGGGGAACGTTTTCTCAGAAAAAGAAGAACGCGTTTTTAATTGTTCCAAGCCAAAAGAACAGAACGTGGTTGATGAGAACTCAAGTTGGCACACGAACGTCGTGGTTGATGTGCTTTTGAAGGCTATCCGAGAACTGAGAAATAGGAATTACTAATCTTAAATTATGACTCTTTTGACAATATCCCGATAGATTAGGACTTTCTATATCTTAATTTTTGGACCCGACTGTCGTTATTCGCAATAACGCTTTGGTTCTCGTTGCCTGGAACTTGTGCTTTGCTTGTTCGTCTGATTGTCAGGATCTTGTTTTTCGTGTCCGTCTCTCTCTCCCATTCATTATACTGCACTTCTGCACTTATCTTGTTGTCTACATTCCTCTCTCTTCTCTTTTTCTATATACTTACATTTGTCTCATTTTCATATACAGCCACCATATCTTATGCCTCTGACGAGACTATCTAGCATTCCTCCTCCTCCGCCACCACCCAGCAATAGTAAAGTCCACATGGATCATTAGAATGTATAAAGATAAAAGTATCTGATAAGCAAGCGTGCAAAAAGAATCCGCAAAAGTGTGGTCGCGCAACTCAGTTTCCGATTTCCTTCGTTCATATGCCATTCCATAGATCATATGGAGGTATGAAAAAGCCTAAGAGGAATAGTGCGCAATTTGTTTCCTTCAAAAGTTAGACGCATTTTTCTAATTTTCCTGGTGGAAAACCCCAGAAATTGAAAAATCCATAACTCCGTCAAATTCAAGAGTATCCGCTTGAAACTTTCACACATGATACCTACCTTAGCCTAGTATTTAGGCTGAAAGTTTCAAGCCTCGAATGCGTTTCCTTGAAGAGATATAGAATTGTTCATTTTTCAAGGTGTTATTGTGAGTTTTACCTCATCGCTTGAATGTTATTTGCGCTTATCTTTATGTTCAGCATTTAAGAACTTTTTTGAGATACTGGCGAATGTCTATCACCCTTCGATGACAGGAGATGTCTCAAAACTGCCGGAGAGAAGTTTTTTATATTACGAGCATCAACCTTTTATTGCCACATGAACTATGTACAAACTTTAAAATTTTCAACGTAATGTGTGCAATTTAAAATCGATTCGAGGCTGTGAAACAAATTCTTTGCTACATCTTCGTCACGTTGCTTGTGCGAATAAGTCAGCTTGCTTGTAGGGAGTAGTTTTGTAATTAAATTTGACAAGATTAGGTACACATTATGGTGTTTTTGTTATTTTTCACACGACAAGCACATACTAACTGTTAAGAAGCCGTTAGATTTGTCACAGGACAAAAATCAGCTGATTAGAGAGAAAAGATAAAGTGTTTGAGGAAAAAACACAGAAAGCTGTTATTTCGCAATAAGAACGACGGGCATATGAACGAAGGAAATCGGAAGGGAACTCAGGGTTTTCCCTCGTGAGCTAGAAGAGGAACTCATTCAGAGACTGGAAGAACTGAGAGAGTTGGGAAAGGCGGGGGGAATAAAGTTTTTTTCGATCAGTTAACAGGGACGCGTCCTGGAAACACTTCTAGCGTTCTTTTGAAATGCGTTTTTGTTGCTAAGAACGACCTTTTCCAGAACACGTTCCTGGCAGAGAAATACGCGTTCCAAAAGAACGCTAAAAGCATCTTCAGGACACGTTCAATTTTTCCAGCGTCTTCTTGACCGTTCTTTTTTATGAACTTTTTTCCATGGGCAGGTAGCCAAATCCACCTACGAATAGTCGGCGATAGCATCGACAAACTGGATCATGCAACTATCGTTTGGATAGTGAGTGGTGTACTTCTACTCTGGATGGAAATGTTAATGGGGAAGGTCAAGATTTTGCTGCGATAGATAAGAGTAAATTTGGATTTTTATCTTGAATACTTTTACTTATTTTTCCTAACGTTTGTATCACGGCGATGACAGGGGTGTTGCCTTCGGTAATGCTTT